ACAACTAACAAAAAATGTAAAAGACCTCTTCAAGGAGAACTACAAACCACTGCTCAACAAAATAAGAGAGGAAACAAACAAATGGAGAAAGATTCCATGCTCATGGTTAGGAAGAATCAATATCGCAAAAATGGCCATACTGCCCAAAGTAATTTATAGATTCAACACTATCTCCAACAAGCTACCAATGACCTTCTTCACAGAACTGGAAAAAAACTACCTTAAACTTCATATGAAACCAAAAGAGAACGCGCATAACCAAGACAATCCTAAGCAAAAAGAACAAAGCTGGAGGCATCACACTACCTGACTTCAAACTATTCTACAAGGCTACAATAACCAAAACAGCATGGTACTGGTACCAAAACAGAGATATAGACCAATGGAACAGAACAGAGGCCTCAGAGGCAATGCCACACATCTACAAGCATCTGATCTTTGACAAACCTCATAAAAACAAGCAATGGGGAAAGGATTTCTCTGTTTAATAAATGGTGCTGGGAAAAATGGCTAGCCATGTGTGGAAAGCAGAAACTGGACCCCTTCCTGACATCTTACACTAAAATTAACTCCAGATGGATTAAAGAGTTAAACATAAGACCTAACACCATAAAAACCCTAGAAGAAAACCTAGGCAAAAGCATTCTGGACACAGACATAGGCAAGGACTTCATCACTAAAACACCAAAAGCATTGGCAACAAAAGCCAAAATAGACAAATGGGATATAATTAAACTCCAGAGCTTCTGCATAGCAAAAGAAAAAATCATTAGAGTGAACCAGCAACCAACAGAATGGGAAAAGTTTTGCAATCTACTCATCTGACAAAGGACTGATATCCAAAATCTACAAAGAACTAAAACAGATTTACAAGAAAAACAAACAAACCCATTTAAAAGTCGGCAAAGGATATGAACAGACACGTTTCAAAAGAAGACATCTATGAGGCCAAAAAACATACAAAAAAATGCTAATCATCACTGGTCATTAAAGAAACGCAAATCAAAACCCCACTGAGATACCATCTCATGCCAGTTAGAATGGCGATCATTAAAAAATCTGGAGACAACAGACACTGGAGAGGATGTGGAGAAATAGGAACACTTTTTCACTCTTGGTGGGAGTGTAAATTAGTTCAACCATTATGGAAGACAGTGTGGCGATTCCTCAAGGACCTAGAAATAGAAATTCCATTTGACCCAGCAATCCCATTACTGGGTATATATCCAAAGGATTATACACATGCACACGTATGTTCATTGTAGCACTGTTTACAATAGCAAAGACTTGGAACCAACCCAAATGCCCATTGATGATAGACTGGATAGGGAAAATGTGGCACATATACACCATGGAATACTATTCAGCCACAAAAAACGATGAATTCATGTCCTTTGTAGGGACATGGATGAACCTGGAGACCATCATTCTCAGCAAATTGACACAAGAACAGAAAACCAAACACCACATGTTCTCATTCATAGGTAGGTGTTGAACAATGAGAACACATGGACACAGGGAGGGGAGCATCACACACTGAAGTCTGTGGCGGGGGACTAAGGGAGGGACAGTGCGGGTGGGTAGGGAGTTAGGGAGGGATAACATGGGGAGAAATGCCAGATATAGGTGATGGGGATGGAGGCAGCAAACCACATTGCCATGTATGTACCTATGCAACAATCCTGCATGTTCTTTACATGTACCCCAGAACCTAAAATGCAATAAAATATATATATATATATTTAAGAAAAAAATAAAATAAAATTCTAATGGAATTTTTTGGAGGATGAACACACATGAAGATATCTCACAAAAGTAAGTATATGCATGAGAATAATCAAATTAATAACAAAAAGAGTCAGGTGTGGTGGCTCATGCCTGTAAACCTAGCACTTCAGGGGACTGAGGCCGGTGGATTACCTGAGATCAGGAGTTCAAGACCAGGCTGGTGAACATGATGAAACCCCATCTCTACTAAAAATACAAAGGTTAGCCAGGCATGGTAGTGCATGCCTGTAATCCCAGCTACTCTGGAGGCTGAGGCAGAAGAATTGCTGGAACCCAGGAGGTGGAGGTTGCAGTGAGCTGAGATTATACCACTGCACTCAGTCTGGTTGACAGAGCAAGACTCTGTCTCAAAAAAACACAAAAAAAATCCAAAATAATAACAGAAAAGAAAAATACTGTAGTCACTCACAGTGCTAAGTATTAAGCATATTATAAAGCTACTATGATAAAAACAACATGGTATAAACAAAAACAGGCAGAAAGATGAAGCAGAAAACCAAGTTCAGAAACTAGCATATGTATACACAATATACCACATAAAAAAGAAAGCATTTAAATTTACAGGGAAAAAAATCATAATGAATGGTGTTGGGACAAACAAACCTAAACAAACTACGTTTAATGTTTTCAAACTGACTTCAATTTTTTTTTTAATTGCATTTTAGGTTTTGGGGTACATGTGAAGAACATGCAAGATAGTTGCATAGGTACACACATGGCAGTGTGATTTGCTGCCTTCCTCCCCTTCACCTATATCTGGCATTTCTCCCCATGCTATCTGTCCCCAACACCCCATCCCCTGCTGTCCCTCCCTAATTCCCCCCAACTGGCCCCCGTGTGTAGTACTCCCCTCCCAGTGTCCATGTGTTCTCATTGTTCAACACCTGCCTATGAGTGAGAACATGCAGTATGTCATTTTCTGTTCTTGTCATCAAACTGACTTCAATTTAAGAGTCATCAAACTGACTTCAATTTAAGAGTAAAAAATAAAATGATAAAAATACCGAATATAGATACAAAGATATTAATTTATTGTTTATTTATATAATTTGAGGGAAGGAAAATCTTAAAAAAGATGTTATCAAAAGCAGAAATAATAAAACACAAAATTGGACTGCAGAAAAATAAATTACAGGATATAAAGAGACTGACAAATAAAATCCTATAAGCCGAGGAACAGTATTTGACACAAAAGGGCTAATATCCTTTGTTTAAAAAAAAATCCCAACGTCAATGGCAAAAACAAAAATCCACCAGCAGAATAATATGCAATTAACAGAACAAATATAAATGGCAATAACAAGAAAAATACCTCCATTTCACTAGTATTTCAAAAATGGAAATATTAAACAATAACTTAATTGTTTAAACGTTAATATTAAACAATAAGACATCAAAGTTTTTCAGAATACTAAATACTTGAGTTGTCAAAAGTGCAAAAAAAAGGGGCAGCTGAATTTCTGGTCATAGTCATTAAATGGTAAAATCTTGGGAATTTGGCAATAAATATTCGAAAACTTCAAAATGTGTATGGCATTTCTAATAATTCTACCTCTGAAAAACTATGGTAAAACATTCAGGCCAGGAGTGGTGGCTCACGCTTGTAATCCCGGAATTTTGGGAGGTCAAGAGGGGGATGGATCATGAGGTCAGGAGTTCAAAACCAGCCTGGCCTAGATGGTGAAACCCCATCTCCAGTAAAAATACCAAAAATTAGCCGGGTGTGGTAGCACAAACCTGTAATCCCAGCTATTTGGGAGGCTAAGGCAGAGAATTGCATAAACCTGGGGTACTGGGCCACTCCACTCCAGTCTGGATGACAGAGCAAGGCTCTGTCTCAAAAAAAAAAAAAAAAAAAAAATTGAATCATTTAATATTTAAATATCACAGTTATCTAATATTAAAATTCCAAAATAACTGCTATAATTAAAAATGGGATAAATTATAATACATCCACACAATGAGATACTGTGCATCATTAAATGTAATATCACAGAATAATTGTTTTCACTACTTCAAATATTTGCTGAGTACCTATCAGTGCCAGACACTGATTTTGGACCTGGGAATATAATAGTTTATAAGAAAAACAAGGTCCTTGGTTCAAGAAGTTTTATAAATGCAAATAAATGTTAAGATACTTTCAGAGAGTGATTTAGGCAATAAACAAAAATTACAAGGGTAAAATATGTGTGTAATTAACAAACAGGGTACTCATGTTAAGAATAAGGGAAAAAATATGATTGAAAAAGAATAAACAAAGGCTTTCAATGCCCTGGATACTACCTATTTTAACAGAGGAGTGCCCACTTTTTGTTATATTATTTATGCCTTGATATCTGAACTATTTCTTATTATGCTCAGTGGAAACAACTACTTAGATTAATGCTCTTTCTCACCTTGGTTTCCACATTTGTAAATCAGGGATGTAACAGCATCTACCTGCTACAATTGTTTTGAGGTATATCAAGTGTTCACCAAAAAACTTTTTCTAGAGTTATATTAGGGGTACCTATTATTTGTGTAAGGTCACAAACTTTTGACTATGAATAAAGCACATACTTCTGTCAAAAAGAGAAAGTGGAAAGTGGCAAGGCCAAGGTCATGCTACAGAATGTGAGTGAGCAACAGGGATCACTTCAGCTGGGATGGAAAAGGAAAGCCACCAGGAGGAGTTGACATCTAATCACAGTTGAATCCTAAAGAAGTCAGTCTTGCAAAGATCTAGGAGAGAAAGAGCTAAGTTTCTAAGGTAAGAATATATAATTGAAAGAAATTTACAATAAATTAAGCACACAACTTACAAATGTCAAATAAAATATCACAATCTGCTTAAGATATGTGTGTATATGTATATACACACATACTTTTATTTATATGCATAAATAAATACTGATATTTATTATCCATGCTCAATAATTTCTTTAGGCTGTTGGTTTTGGTCTTCAGTGTGAACTATCATATAGTAGTGTATTGTTCTAACCTGTCTAGCAATGAGGCCAAAAATATTGTATTGATTTAATCACCCGAAAATGCCAGTTAGCTTAGCTCTGTTCTATTACAGTCTGTACCCGTCATTGTATCCACAGTGTTAAGATTTAACACTGACTTAAAACCATATTAAAAAAAAAAAAGTACAACATAATAATCACATCATTATACAGATACCATGATCTAAATCATTACAATCTGAGTGATACAGGTTTCCTTACCTCGGTCCATTGCTGTCTTTTCTCCTGCTAGAACAGTTGCCTTGTTCAGCTTTGGCTCGCTGATCCGTGAACTCATTTGCAGTCCTATCTACAATTTCTCCAGCATCAAGTGCTCTGTGTAGTCGATAGTTGACCATCTTCAGAACAACGAAAACAGCAGCTATCACAGGACAATAAACTGCTACTATAATCATGGAAGAAGGAAGGGCCTTTAAAAGAAAGAAAATAAGGAAATACATTTTAAAATATTTTCTATTGTATTCAATTAGAGAAATCTGTATCTAAAATAATAAACACATTTACACATAAAGCAACAACTATGTTACTAGCACTAAGCTACACAAGTACTTATATAACTGCGCTACCCAATGCAAAAGACATTAGCTACGTGTGGCTACTGAGTACTACAAATATGGCTAGACTGCACTGAGATATGAAGTGAGACTAAACTAACACTGCATTTCAAAGATTCAATATTTTAAAATAGAATGTCAAATATCTCAATTTTATGTTGATTACATGTTGAAATAACACTTAGATTATGTTGGGTCAAATAAAACATTATTAAAATTAATTTCACATGCTTCTTTTTACTTAATGTGGCTACTAGGTTAAATGAAAGTTGCCAGGTTAAAAAAAAAAATGTGGCTACTAGAAAATGTTAAATTATTTATGTGGCTTGCCTGCATTACATTTCCACTGGAAAGCATGGGTATACAGTCCATACCAAAAGCCTTATCATACAACTGGAGAACAAAGGTATCACATTACAGTATATGTGACAAAAATCAACATTGTGATCCAAATATAATCCCTGTTAATGGGCTCTGTGTAACCAATTTTTAGGATACATTCTTTGTATACCAGAAACTTGGAAGTTAAAACTGTCATGAGAATGGCCTTAGAACTGTGACCATAAAACCAAGTAAGATATGGAAGACATGCGAAATCAAAGTGGGTTTTATTTTAAAACAAACATTTAAATACTTAAAAATTGTAGCCTGTCAAACAAAAAGAATAAAAGAACACAGAACAGAATCAAGTAACAAATAAAATAAGTCAGCCAAACATCCTGGGTGTGGGACTGAAAGCCAATCATACAGTGGCTTTCAATTCGGTGATGGGGAACTTGAGTCCATGGGTGGCAAGCTTGGAGACCAGCTCACTGGGAAGGCAAGGCCTAGAGTCACTGTTAGCAGAGGTAATACAACTAGGCTCAACTTATCCCACTTTCATTAGGAAAATCACCCTGACACCTATAGCGCTAGCCCCCACATGTTTTCATAAGATTCAATTTCAGTTATCTGAGAACATGACTCCAAATTGGCTTTAAAAAAGTAACTTCTGGCTGGGCATGGTAGCAGACACCTGTAATCCCAGCTACTCGGGAGGCTGAGGTAGAAGAACCACTTGAACCTGAGAATTGCCTGAACCTGGGAGGTGAAGATTCTAGTGAGCCCAGATCGTGCCACTCTACTCCAGCCTAGGTGACACAGTGAGACTCTGTCTCAAAAAAAAGGAGTAACCTCAAATCACGTGAGATAAAAATAAAAAGATCTTGTTGAGCCAGGCAGGTTTAGAATACAGATATGATCTAAGTTTCTTTAAAAAAAGAAAAAAAAAGTTCTTGAGACAGAAAGATGGTGAGTTGTAACTGAGAGGAGAAAACATACAATCCACAAATTAATACTTCTGTGTTGAGTGTGGGTATAATAGATATATATTAAATATCTGATATTTTCAAATACTTGGATTAAGAAGTCCTGCATATTAACGTATCTAAAAAAAACTAAACTTGTGATTCCAATTTAAAATATTACTGAATAACTGGTTTGGGCTTAAAATTTTAAGTTGAGAAATATATTTATAAGTTTACAAAATCCATAATTATCAGATTTGGAAGAGTTGAGTACTTGTATGATACTGTGTAATATATATTTGGTCTTCATCCCAGTTTTCTGGCATAATACTCTTAAAATCCCTGGAATCTCCAAACTGGCAATTTTTGTTCAATATTAGGTTGTTTGGTGCCTGGAGGCTCCTGGATAGCCTGAGGAGCAGGACTGGTTTCCAGGGGAGCCAACCCTCAACCTCCAGGAAGGGAAAATGGGCTATAGGATGAGTTGATCACTGTATTAGTCCTTTCTCATGCTGCTATGAAGAAATACCCAAGACTGGGTAATTTATAAAGAGGTCTAACTGACTCACAGTTCCACATGGCTGGGGAGGCCTGAGGAAACTTACAATCATGGCAGAAGGTACCTCTTTCACAGGGCAGCAGGGAAGAGAAATGAATACCAAGTGAAGGGGGAACCCCCTTATAAAACCATCAGAGCTCATGAGAACTCACTGATTATCACAAGAACTGAATGGGAGAAATGCCCCATGATTCAATTATCTCCACCTGGTCCTAACCTGGACACATGGGGATTATCACAATTCAAGGTGAGATTTGGGTGGGAACACAGAGCCAAGCCACTTCATTCCATCCTGGCCCCTCCCAAATCTCATGTCCTCACATTTCAAAACACAATCATGCCCTTCAAACAGTTCCCCAAAGTCTTAACCCATTCCAGCATTAACTCAAAAGTCTAAGTCCAAAGTCTCATCTGAGACAAGGCAAGTTCCTTCCACCTATGACCCTGTAAAATCAAAAGCAAGTTAGTTACTTCCTAGCTACAATGCGGGTAAAGGCATTGGGTAAATACACCCATTCCAAATGGGAGAAATTGGCCAAAACGAAGGGACTACAGGCCCCATATAAGTCCAAAATCCAGCAGGGCAGTCAAATTTTAAAGCTCCAAAATGATCTCTTTGACTCTATGTCTCACATCCAGGTCACTGATGCAAATAGATGGGCTCCCACGGCCTTGGGTAGCTCCGCCCCGTGGCTTTGCAGGGTACTGCTCCCCTCCTGCCTGGTTCATTAACTGGCATTGAGTGTCTGTGGCTTTTCCAGGCACAGTGCAAGCTATCAGAGTTACCATTCTGGGGTCTGGAGGACAGTGGCCCTCTTCTCACAGCTCCATTAGGCAGTGCCCAATGGGGACTCTGCAGGGGAAGGGGTGTCCAACCCCACATTTCCCTTCCACAGTACCCTAGCACAGGTTCTCCATGAGGGCTACACCACTGCAGCAGACTTCTGCCTGGACATCCAGGCATTTCCATACATTCTCTGAAATCTAGGCAAAGGTTCCGAAACCTCAATTCTTGACTTCTGTACATCCACAGGCCCAACACCCCAACACCAAGGCTTGATGCTTGCATCCTTTGAAGCAACAGCCTGAGCTGTACATTGGACCCTTATGACCACAGCTGGGATGCAGGGTACCCAGTCTAGAGACTACACAAAGTAGCAAGGTGCTGGGCCCCACCCAAGAAACCAGTTTTTCCTCCTAGGCTTCTGGGCTTGTGATGAAGACCTCTGTTATGCCCTGGAGACATTTTCTTCATTGTCTTGGTGATTAACATTTGGCTCCTTGTTACTTAGGCAAATTTCTGCAGCCTTCTTTAATTCTTCCCCAGAAAATGGGGGTTTTCTATTGCATCATCAAGATGTAAAATTTCCAAACTTTTACACAGTGTAACCTCTTGAACAGTCTGCTGCTTAGAAATTTCTTCCACCAGATACTCTACATCATCTTTCTCAAGTTCAAAGTTCCACAGATCACTAGGGCAAGGGCAAAATGCCACCAGTCTCTTTGCTAATAAAGCATAGCAAAAGTCACCTTTATTCCAGTACCTAACAAATCCCTCATGTCCATCTAAGACCACCTCAGCCTAGCCTTTATTGTCCATATCACTACCAAGCAGTTTGGTCAAAGCCATTCAACAAGTCTCTAGGAAGTTCTAAACTTTTCCATATCTTCCTGTCTTCTTCGGAGCCCTCCAAACTGTTCCAACCTCTGCCTGTCACCCAGTTTCAGAGTCACTTCCACATTTTAGTGTATCTTGACAGCAGCGACCTGGTACCAATTTACTGTATTAGTCCGTTCTCATGCTGCTATGAAAAATACCTGAGACTGGGTAATTTATAAAGAAAAGAGGTTTAATTGGCTCACAGTTCTGCCTAAGAGGGAGGCCTCAGGAAACTTACAATCATGGTGAAAGGCACCTCTTCACAGGGCAGCAGGAGAGAGAAATGAGTACCCAGTGAAGGGGGAAGCCCCTTATAAAACCATCAGATCTGGTGAGAACTCACTATCTCAAGAACAGCATGGGGGAGACCACCCCCATGATTCAATTATCTCCACCTGGTCCTGCAGTTGACATGTGGGGATTATCACAATTCAAGGTGAGATTTGGGTGGGGACACAAAATCAAATCATATCAATCACCAATAGTCAAGAAATTATATAATCAATCATGACTACATAATGAAGTTTCTATAAAAAACAAAAGGCTTGGGTTCAGGAGCTTCTTGATACCTAACATATGGAGGTTTCTGGAGTGTGGTAAGCCCATGCTCCAGGGCCCTTCCCACATGCCTTGCCTCATTCAATTTTGCATTTGTATCCTTTGTATTAATAATAACTCCAGGTAGACAGTGTCAGAATTGAATTGAAGGATACCCAGCTGGTGTCTGCTGAGTAGAAGTGGTTGACTGCTTAGTGTTTAAGGACACCCCCACACATCTGCTGTCAGAAGTATTCCGTGCTGTGATAGTACAGTAGGAGAACTCAGTTTGTTTTTTCTGTAGCCTCTCAACTTGCAAACATTTGTCAGATAATTTAAATCCTTAAAAATGAATACTAAATTTACAAATGAAATTTGATGGGGTCTTAAGCTACTAAAAAAAAAAACCTTTTAAATTATTGTTAAACTATGTTAGATATGTAAAGAGTTGAGTTTAAAATTCAAGAAATCTAATATTCATTATGAAAAACAAAAGTGCTCTGAATAACCTTTTCTAAGCAAAATGGCCACTCCCAAACACACAACACAAATTGTTTTCATACATATAAACACATACACATCTCAGAGGATTTACAAAAATTCTGTGTGACACCGGCTTCCATCTGAAATATGTGCCATAAAAACCAGAATTCTTGGAAATTATTTAGTTTAATACCCTCATTTCCAGACAGAAATTTGAATGACTTAGCCAAGATCACCCATTTAATACCAATATTAAATGAGGTTTCTTAAGCCTATTTCAGTGCCCATTTTGCTATGTACCACATTGCCAATGCCATTTTCAAATGTAAAA